AATTACTCCATAAACAACAAGAAACGTTATTTGGCTTCCTAGACGTGTTAACTCTCTAGTTATTTTAGGAAGCCAACACCCGTCTAGCTTTAATTTTTATTTGATGCAAATGTCTTCTTTTCTAAATATAAGAGCTAATAAAGTTGTTGTTGTTGTTGTTGTTGTTGTTGTTGTTGTTGTTGTTGTAAAGTACTGGTGGATTAAACGAAAAAAAAAGCTCCACCCCCTGTGGTCCTCGCCTTTCCCCAATCCCCTGTCCCGGGTTATTTTTGAAGGAGAGATTACCTTTAAATGCTATGTGGCTTCAGAAATAATTGCACTCAACTCAGAACAGGAATATATACATGCAAAATGCAACTGAAGTCATTGACTGTGTAAATCCTCAAAATCCCAAGAAACAATTAGAAGACGATCCGATGACTATCTCTGCGAGTTGAAATTCACAATTTATCACAGTATTACCTGACACAGTTGTATCATGGCTCGAAAATCCATACATGATTACTTTAACGTGATCAACAAGACCACTGAACAAAGTGCAAATGCTGAAGGTCGAGGCTAACTCAGCGTCTTCATGCTGGAAGAGGAGTCTGTATCTTCCCTTTTTAGATCACCTCATCAACCAGCTTGATGAGCAATTAGTCAAACCTCTCCCTGGCTTCCAAGCGCAGCTTCTTATTCCTGGTAAGTTGTGTATATATATAAGCTAGTAATAGGGATGCCGCAGGAAAAGGTGACAGTCAGAGAACAGAACAGAGAAACGAAGCCGCGGGCCTAAAAGCTACATATGTTGTTTACCCTACTGACGGCAAAGAGATCACTGCTCCTATGCTGTTAGCATAAAACAACATTAATTCGTTGATTCTATATTCCAGCGAAGCTCACTGAGCTAACAGAAAGAGCCGTTAATGATATCTTCAGCTGCTTCGGCAGTGACATGGAAATCTCTAAGGGCGAATTCAAATCCGAGGTCAAAAGATGGAGGCAAAAGTGAAGTGTGTCGAATAGATGGTAATGTGAAGCTGAAGACTTTGGTTGAGTCTCTTGATCATGGCAACCTTCAATTCTATCCCGGAGATTATGTTGCTAAGATACCATTGTCGACGTATCCTGTGTCAACTTGCACTGCTGAGCGTAGTTTCAGAAGTATGAAGAGATTGAAAACGCCCTTACGAAGTACCATGACAGACGGGAGATTGAGCTCTATAGCAATTTTGCACATTCACAAGCGCAAGGACGTTGACCTTAATGATGTTATAACAGAGTTCACCCGTCTAAAGGGTAGACGTCTTGCCCTTTGCTTGTAAACCCCCTGTTTTTACCATTGTTTTACCTCATTTTTTTGATGTAGGTTACCGAAAACTCTAGAGATGGGTAAAATAAACAACTAACTACTGCATTTTCCGTCGCATTTATTTACAAAAAAGTTCCGCGGAAATAGCTGGAAATGGCATTTCCGAAACCCTAAATTTCACAATTTTCTGTGGGAGCACGCCCCCAGATCCCCCTAGTTTGGGGCCTTCGGCGCTTGCAATTTCCGCGCTGTGCGTACATCTTCAAAATCTCACCCTACGCCCCTGATTCGTCCTTATTGCACAGATAGTCTGCTAAGCAATGTAATTGTTCTCTTTACGAAATATTACAGACTCTTTGTTGCATTCACCTGGTGAGACTGTACAGAATGAGTTTCCGTGGCACAAGTGATTCACTAAGTGGTCCTTAATGAGATCACGGGCGCTTTCCATCCGATCAAAAATTCCGAAATTTTCGAAACGGGGACAAATGGTACGGAAATTTCTTGGGATAAGTTCCAGAAAATCCGGAAATTTCGAAACGAAAATCAAATGGAACAGAAATTTCGAGGAAAAATGTTCGAAAATTTGGGTATACCTCACGAGGTTGTCCTCTTTTTCGGAAACTATATGCAAATTCGCAATTTTCCTATTCAGCGCTAGTTCTTTTGGCCGCGATCACAGCGAGTTGGACATCTCGCGCAATTTTTGGTCTCCGTAAAGAGCTATAAAGGCTGCTGTTCACTGGTGCGTAAGCTTCAACATAGTCACCCGGACGTCTTGCTCAGAAATTTCTAAACAAAAGGCGCTAATTATCAACATTTTACTCTTTCTGTGTATGCTTGCCTTTGCCTAAGCGCTAGTGAAAATCAGCTGTAAGCGTTTAAAATTACTGACTGCTTGTAATCATAACTAACAAAATAAAGTTAAAATTGACAAAATCATCACAATTCATGAAGGCAAAACGAGAATCAAGGTTTACTGTCGCTCTTTAATCCTTGCGCTACGAAAGCAGAAAACATGTTATTAAACGAAATGGATCATTGTGGAAATACGTTCTTCGCTTTTTGATAACAACGATAAATATAGCGACTTTATGCGTCGTTTAACTCACCCTTTTTCCCACGCACTTCTACATGTACGTTTTGCAGACATTCCAATGGTCAATTTGTCACAAAATTATACAACTTCATACCTTGGTTGCATCTGTACATCGTGATCGACATCGATTTACTAAGTTTGTGTCGTAAAAGAAATTTAAATTCTGAGCAAAATTAAAATTGGTGTAACGAGTCAGATTTAATTATACTAGATACACAGGCGCCGTTAATGAATTTACGTAGCCTCTGGCACCGACAAAAATAGAAAATTCCAGCGCGTAACGAAGATTGATTCAAGTGTTTTGATTTGATCACAGATGGCTGTACATTCGTAGCTATGTTCAAATGGCTCACTTTATACCTGTCAGAGTGATCTTGCATGGTGTTATGAGACCTGCCCCAACTGTTTCAACCGAATGAACTATAGTGATATGATGTCGACTATACTCAGGAAATAATTTCTTCCATAAAAGACCAGTCCGGATGTTCAACGTTCAGTCAGTGAAGCATGGACTTAAAATTCCAATTTTCTTTGTCTATGCCTAATTACTTTATTTTATTTTTTGGCTCGAGACAATAACTAACCAAACTTTGTTTGTAAGTTACAGAAATTCGAACGTGAGTGATGTAGTTACATCAACATAGCTGTTTTTAACTGTTTGTTAGTCTGTTATCGTGAACAAAGAAAATGCAAGCTGCAGCTATTGTTAGCCGCCCGTGATCATCTTATTGCCTTACGTTATTCTAAAATAATGTTCTGGATCACTGTCAACTCAAGAGCAGATCTGCGTTTATGATACTATTCTCTAAATCAGTATTGAATGCTAATTGAACAGCTTATCAACATGCTGAAATATCCATTTAACAAGAGAAATATTTCATTACTATCAAGTTGAACTGACAATGACTTTCAAGTTGGCAACCAATCATAACGCCTCGAGGTCTTTCAACGAACTAAAACAAGGTCGTTATCATGCAACATCCACAAATGTTGCATGAAAAATTTGACCACTTTCAAATTGGAGCCAACAACACCCAACATGTCGCAACATGTCGCGACATGTCGCAACAGGGTGGCCAAACGTACGCAAGATGTTCCTTCCAACAATGTTGCGTTTAAATGTTGCGATCGTTTGGCCGGGGCTTTACATGCACTTGTTCTACTCATAGGTCTATAGGCTGTTAAATCGTGGACAATGCTACCAAAATTCTTAGGAGTATGAAAGATATAACACATTATTTTCAAGAAAATGCCCACACTTTAAAATTGGAAAGACAAGTTTCGGATACTCCGTATCCATCGCGCTCAGTTTCAAGATGTTTACAAGTGATAAAGATTAAATGTGAAAAAGGGTGATCGAAAATTACAATACTAGAATAAGATCGCTAATCAAAAACAATGTGTGGAAAAAAAAATCACACAATACCTGAGGGGAAATGGCCCACATGAAATAAATAATTATAGACTAAAGAAAAAAAAAAGGAGAGAAAAAAAAATATATGAATAAAGTTAAATTGAACTAAAAGTGTTAAAATACATGCTTGAGCTGTTTATTGATCATGAGCGAGGGTCGCTCCCATTCTATGTTAAGGGTTTTTTTGATTTGGAGTTGAAAATTCGTGGGAGCCGAGTCCAGAAGGGAAAAAGAACTGAGTCTTCAAACATAAATTCTCACTTGACTCAGAACTCTTTAAGACTCCTTTTAATGCATAGAACTCAGGGCTTCCGTCTGGCTTAATGCAATTATAAAATGCACGTGATCGCCACAACATGCTGTAAGTCTTTTTATAGCCGTATTCAAATCAATGTAACAGAAGGGACGGCCAAAGTCTAAGGTTCTTGTAGAGAGAACAATAGGGATTAATAAAAATAATAGATATTTGTTAATTGTCCAGGCACCCAGCATAATGGAAAATATTGCATTCAGCTTGGCTCGATAGTCGAAGGCCTAATTATTAATGCCAGGAATAGAGATCTACTACTTTTGCATTGGAATCCAGCACTCGAAGGGTTAATAGAGTAACAAGTACAGTTTTTATTATTATTTTTTAAGAATTTGGCAATTATCATGTGACTGCCGCCAGAAATTTCATTAGTACGTTCTTCCGTCACTGAACTGACATTGACTTGGAAACAAAAGGATTGTTTTTAGCACACATAATTTGCATCCGTCGGTTATTCTAGTTCAGTTCGAGAAGTTTTGCTGGGCGTTGCATTGCACTTTGTGTCTTCTTGTGTTACCAGGCGTGTTCGAACTAACTTCTACATACGGAATCATGACGATCTCTTTTGCCTTGTTTTGCATCATACTGGGACTTGGGGCTGCCAACGGTAGGTTTAAGTTCCTCTTTATTTATCCTGATCGCTTATTAAAACTCGCGAATAGATATGTGGTCTTACCCGCGCTTTGTGAGTGACAAAATCTGAAACTTGACCTGCCAGATAAGCTCGTTTAGTAAAATCCAGTTTAAATACTAATATTTCACATTGAAGACAATTTCAAGATATCACTTCCAGAGCGAACTTTGAACAGAGCCATTTCTAAAACACTCCCAAGATACATTTCATACACCGCTGATTTGGAAGTTCGTCACACGGTGACGAAAAAATTATCATCTGAGATCGAATCCTCTGGAGATAGTGAAATATTAAATGGAATCATCTCCAGTACAGAGGGTTCACTAATTAAATACATGGAGCTGCACGTTCACCGCATTAAAAGCATTGAAATTGTTGACCATTAGAGGAATAATTGATAGTATTCACCAACAGTTAGCGACGTGTTTTCATTTACTTAAACTCTTGCTCTTGGCACGCCAAAAATGTTTCATAACGGTCAACTTTGGAAGTTGATATGTTGTAAGTACTGCGTAAATTGTTTGCACTTCAAGAAGGAAATGGTAAAAACACGTGTATTTATGCAGACGGTTTCATTGTTGCGCTTCGACAAGCTACAAAGGTGGGAAAAATTATACATGTACATTTAAGTTATCGTGATCACAGCTTCAATTAAAGGAAAGCAACAAATCAGACCATTCTGTTCACGGTATTTTCAATATTGTATGATTCTGGAATGTTGCGAAACAGTAGAGTCGCTCATTAAACCGGATTCATGAGAACGAATCGTGCATGGTTGATGATAACATTGATCACGGCGAATAAATATTCCACTCAACATTCCACTTGTCTTTATTTAACATTGCACTTGAATGTTTCGATATTTTCAGTAAAGACTCGTAGGCCTTGTTATGATCAATGTCGTCCTATTCTTTAGTTTTTGCGTATCTTGACTCACTTCATCAGATCTAAAAATGACTCATAGAAGCGTATGTGCGTTAGGGTACCCCTTTCCGTGCACATCTGTTTGCTAACCGACATTCCTGGGAAATGAAGTCAGAATTAAAGTGAATATTAAACGTCTAATTACGCAAAGCAACCGACGAAGCGTAGGATAGCTTTATTTCATAACTTAAACTCAATCTTTATCGCGAAATTAAACTTTTCAGCTGTGGAATCTTTAGCAGATCGGCCCGAGCGCGACGTAGTCCATGTTGGCAAACGAGGTCCTCGATAGTCCTCCATGTCAGCGCGAATCACCTGTCTTTAGGTTTTCATATTAGGACTTGTTCTATAGAGTACTTAATCAGTTCTGCCGAGCCCAGACGAAAAATTCAGATATTACTCTTCTAAAGGGATGGTTAAGTTGATAGGACTGTTGTAGAAGGAGAAAATGAAGCATTTGGGTGTTTGAGCGAGACGTGCGCGTTAACTCGTCCATGCCAAATGACATATATGTTCATGGTCATTAAACAAAACACTAAAGCATGATCTGCAAGTACCAACCCCGTCAAGTGGATGCTTGTGTACAGACACCTTTGCGGATGAGACAATGATTGATTGTCACCTATTGCAACGGTTGTTTTTCATAGCCGTGCTCACTGCTCCGAGCAATAAGGACTGAAGAGCTGACCGCTGATCATCAAGGTCGAATGTATGTTTATTGTTTCGTTCGTCCACATTTCATAAAACTAAAATTTCGTTTTGTGATAAATGCGCCTACATAATATAACATTCTTATATACTTTTTCCGTTTGAAAATAGTGCAAAAATGCATTTATGTTTCTCAATTGTTTAATAACAATATTTAACAGTTATTCGCCGTGGACGGATGAACATTGTTGAATATTTACAGAGACGAAGTCGACTTAAATATTCACAAATGTTCATAATGTTCAAAATGTTCAAAATACCTGAGGCATTTTTTTAAGTATAATTTTCAGACGTGAATAAAAAATGCTTCAAAATAACAGACCAACTCATGGAAACACAACGCAATAGCTCGTTCACAGTATACGCATACCTCAATGTGCGGCCGTAGTGTTAAAATTAAACTTACATCTTTTGTGAAATAATTTAGTCATCGATTTAGGCAGTAGAAAATCTAAAGATGCCCTACGGAAGAGAAATTCATACCGTACCTTTGTTTCATCGTCGTTGCCTCATGCACAGTTGGACTCTTCGTCTAAAAATGAGTAGCATCGGAGGAAAGGTACATTTCGATAACTTAACACACACACGATCTACAAAACCAATGCGCCACTGGTCTTTACAATTCTTTTAAAAATACGTTGAATGCCAGCCTTAACAATATTTTAGCCCAAAGGAGATGGCACTTATTCCTAGAATTCCCCACGTTCTTTTAAAACATCTTGGACTTTGGGTGATTCCATTCGAATAAATGAAATTCAAAAACCGTCCACCAAGTTTTTTGATAGCTTAGCTTATATATAGCAATCGTGATTTGAAGATGCTGGCGATTTCTCGACTGAGAATGCCATTGCTGCGCACTGTTTTTGGAAAGTATAAAACTATTATTTATTCCGGTGGAATAAATTGGCATAACTTGGTCTAGCTAGTAAAACTAGCTAGTAAAACTATTCTAGCTAATAAAACTATTCGATCGACAATCAAAACATTGCTCTTATTAAATCTCAATGTCCCTATGAAACTTAAGATTCTTACAAAAAGGCGAACTAAGAAAACAATTAGATTATTCGCTCAATATCTCTTTACTTGATAGTTGACTCGGGCTGGGCCCTCGTCAACTATCACGCGCTATAATTCACCACTAAATTTTCTCCGATTCTTATTGGTTTGAATGGATCACGTGACGCGACAATGTTCATCCGCGGAGAGACACCATCAGCTCATAATGCCCGCCCGAGAAAAATACCCAGATTGATAGTACTCGTCCGTGAATTTTTTCTGTAAACAAGCGGGTTTATAAAAAATAAACAATTGAAATTCTGATAAGTGTTTTTCTTTTGCTTTTTTTTATGTCTGTTTTCTTTTTCACATTTTACATTTCCCTATCACGAATTTCATTTAAAATAATTAGTTGAAAATTATTCAATATGATTTTTTAACTGGCGCGTGGAAAAAAAAAATAGTGGTGAACAGTAAAGACAACAGAGTGTTTCTGTCTTGGAACTATCGGCCTTGTAGATGCCCCTTGGAAATTTGATGTTCTTAAAACTAGCATATTTGCCCTCGAAACTTCGCTTCTCCGGAAAATATTTGTTTTAAGAACATCAAATTTCCGCGGGGCAACTATCAGGTGACAGTTCCTCGACAGAAACACTATTGTTTAAATAGAAATCTCGAGCTGATAATCTAATTGTTGAATAGAAATATAGATTACTTCATGGAAAGTGCTTTGTACGGTATTTACGCACGAGTTTTCTGATACAAAAACAACGAGTGCGTAAGTACCGTACAAAGCACTTTCCATGCTGTAATTTGTTTATTTTATACTAACTGAGATTTTCACCCTCAACCAGATTTTCACCCTTCATTCGGCAGAACAAATGTCAAGTTATGCTTTTATTCCGTCTGAGTGCAAACACTTTGTCGCTTCTTTAAAAACCTAGAGTAAATATTTTTCGTACAGAATGTTTACCCGGTCATCAGTCAATGCTTCAGCTGCGTTTGATTTGTTTCCTTTGCCTCGCTTTTTTTTTTAAGTCGTTTGCTTCGAGCTTTCAAACATTTCCTTGCTTGGTAAAACTCTCTGTCGTCGATAATGCTTACGGCATATTTGCCTTCTTTAAGCAAGCTAACCTTAACGTCTCGTCGGGTTTTTGTTCGAGTCCTTTTGTTCTGCTGTTCCTGGATGTACTTTTTAATGAGCTTATCTAAAGCGATAAACCTATTCGAACTTTCCGACATTGCCCGTGGTTTATAGCTAATTTGCGAGAAAACTGGAGTAAACTTGTGGAAGCTCTACAAACTTTTGTGAATAAAGATTAAAGAGGCGCCAACAACAACGTGAACGCTTTGCAAACTGACTGATTCATTTTGACAGCTGATTTCTGATTGGATGAAACGCTTTTCCCACGTGTGAGAAAGTCGTTTCGCGATTGTGATTGGATAAATAAATTTCCGTATGAGTTTTTCTTGCGATCGATTCTATGCGAAAATCTTGGTATGTATGAAATAAACACGATTTTTAACCAATCGGTGCGCGCATATTTTCTTTGGGCTATTTTCTACAAAAATGTACACTAGGAGGAAATTTCATAGAGGCTTGAAGAGATCTCCTGCTCTTAGATAATGTAAATAATATTCGGTAAATGAATACAACTGAAGATGGAACATGACTGAACGCCCCATTGAACTTTAGGTTTTTACGTGTTTCCATCGAGTTAAAGCAACACGAGAGGAAATGTGAGAACGCGAGACCTAGGGAACACAGGAAAATGTGGAAAATGGAAAATATCGCGAGAAAAAGGAAAGAAAAGAAACTGTATAGTTTGATTATCAAAATGTAAATTCTCTTTGCTCGCATCATTATATTAATTACGTCAACGGCTCGTGCTAGTTTCGGGTTTCCATCGAGTTATAGAGGTACGTCTTTTATTAAGCGACGCGCGCTCTCTTGCAAGATTTTTTTCTATTTTTTTTTTATTCCCACAGCTCATATGCATGATGGCATGAACACAACCCAGTGTCACTCGTGCCTCGAGGATGACTTCGATTTGTGCGTGAATCAATCTACAGTCGAAAATTGCACGTCCCCTACCACTGAGAGCTGTTTCTCGGCTGCTGGAAGATACAAGTTCACCAATGGCTCTACAGTTGTCCTTGCCAGTGTTGCCAGAGGTTGTATTGCCTGCCCAAGTAAGATAAAGATTGTGTTATCATTAATAATATAAGCTATTCAACAAAACTTCGACGAGCGGTTAGCGATGAAAACAATAGCTTTAAAGGAAGCTCCCCATAGCGGCGACTTTCAGCTATTTTCAGTCATTTTCAGTGTTGAAAGTGAAAAGCTACCGAGGCTGTATTTAATGACTATTTACTGGATCTAAACTGAAATATCTGTTATTTAAAGAGTGATTCAACCTCGTCAGTGCGAGCATTCGGCGGCCAGAATAAGCGCCGTATACAGGAGTTCAATTGCGCAAGATCAAACTTCATTGTGGTACTAAAACTGGGTCCTAGTTTGTAAAGTCGAAGTTTTGGAAAGCACACGCAGGGAGTCCATGGCTCCTGCTACCCGCATAATTATTTCTGCCTCCCTATTCCTCCCTCCGTTGTCACAGTGCTACAAAAGATATTGCCGGATATTTTGTAAATAAAAGATATATATTTGGCTTGATGCCTTTGTAGCTGCCATATTGGAACAGATCTTTTCTTTCCCCAAAATTTTATTTGATAGATTCTTGGGAATGATTATCTTCTGGTGTTTTTTCATTACTGCAGACGTCACAGAAGGCTGTAAAAACTTCAAAATATTCTTTGATACACGTAGCGCTTGGTCCTTGCTGGATTGTAACATAGTCTGCTGCAGGGGTGACCAATGCAACAACCAGACCGTTTCGTTGCAGCCAACTGAAGCAACTCCTAGAGCAACCAGTGCCATGTCAAACACTAGCACTACTGATGAACCTACAACTGCAGGACATCCGAGCCGCTATAGTCCTACAACTGCAGTGTTGGCCTTTGCAACCATTATTGGTGGTTTTTTCTTTTAATTCAGAAACATTTTAAGACCGTTTCAAGACAAGCAGCCATTTTTTTGCTATTATTGTTATTAATTGCTATTTCTAGTTGTATGACTTTTAACGTCATGTGTGTTGACTTTGTTACAGTAGTAAATTCGAAATAAACACAATATTAACAGACGTAGTGCATCCTTGTTCCAGCGTGCACACGCCTTCCGCCTGGTCCGCTAAATTCTCGGCTTTTAATGTTCGACTTGATCAATATATTTTTCTGATGAAGTAGGCACTATAATCATCTTGGTTAGGTTTGGAGTAGTGTTAATTAAGCCAGGATGCGATACCCCCTGAAGAAACTGTATTTTGTCCCACCAAATGGACCTCATTCTTGCTTGTACATCCAACGCCACTTTGTTCCTCAAAGTTCTACCATCAACCCGCTTCCCCCCAGGGTGGGTTATCTGTTGTAGGCCAGTTTAAGTTTCTCACCTCTGAAATCTAATCGAAAAAGCGGAATGGGAGGGAGGGGAGCAACCTGCCATTTTGGCCTCTCCCTGCGACGTTATGTCCGACTGTATTGAACCTCTTTTCGTTAAAGGTTTGTAATCGTACGAATAATTGACGAAATCGGGAGATGGCGTTATCTGGAGTGCGCGTTGATCGAGTCTCGAGTATAACTACAGATAGAACTGGACGACACACAAGTCATTTCCGAAACAAACTTTGTCATTACTGGATTTTGGTTTTAAACAAAATGCAGCTCGGAAAAGGAACCTATTCAGGCTAGTCATAAATCAAACTAGGCTTATTTCAGGCCAAATATCACAGTGTTTGCGTCATACATGCATTTGGTTAGCACGCATACAGTCGTGTCAAGGCTGGTTTTCACTACACATATTAAAAGCAAGAGCACAGGTGGACTTACGCAGACGCAATAAGACGTTGATAATCAACTCCTTCTTTTAGCCAATTTCCCAATAAAAGGCGGTTGTTATACTCATCATATTTGCCCCCGAAAATCTGTCAAAATTGGCCGTTTTTTGATACCTTTTTCTAGCGCTATAGCTCTACACTTTGCAGAATCTTTACTGCAGCTTCCAGAAATCGTTACTGGCTCTTAGCAGAAATTTCAGTGCGTGTGCAAAACGTCTACAAAGGTGGTTTTCACTAACGTATAGGCATAAGCAATGTACAGACATGCAGTGCGGAGCTGTTAAGTCGCGCCCTTTGTTGGGAAATTGTCCTAACAAAATGAAATAACCATCATCAATTTTCTGCGTATATCGGTTTATGCTTCAATTATTTTGTATCGTCATTTTGCGAGAGGCCTTTCTCGCCATAAGACAGTGCATCGCTGCTTAAATTCGTTCCAGCTTTTATTTGTTTCTGTAGCGATCGTGATGATCGTATGGAAACAATGAATCCCTCAAGTTTTCTGGAGCGATCGCAACGATCGTATGAAAATCAACCTTAACACCAAGGTAACTGAACTTGAACAAACCCGGATTCATTAACTACTGCCCTGACACACTTAAATATCTATTTACCTCAGGCAAATAACTCTTTTACACACACTGAGTTGAATGATAAGTATTATTTCTAAACTTACAATTGTTACGTTTCTTAGCAATCAGTTTTTGAGACGCTTTTTTACGATTCTGTTTCTGTTTGCCAGGTTCTTTTGAAGTGTTCTCTTGTGTTGTTTTGTGTCTTAGTCAAATCCGTCCTCAGGAGGCAACACAGCTCCGAATTCCCGATTTGGTTTGGACGCATAAAAGTAGCCATGCAATGAGATGTTTGGAGCTCTAACGTGTTCTAATTATTAGACAAATAAATCGTCATAAAAAGCGTTTGTTGTTTCAGATTCATCTAGGACCATCATAGTCACGAAGTATCCAACAAATATGCAGGTTTAAAACATGTTTCTTTTTTCATTTGCCTGAAAGTTTACATCTGTTCCCAAATATGTCTCAACTTCTACTCTCCAGGAAATTTCCTAACCAACTGAATTTGTCAAAAAAAAGTCAGTGGACTCATCAACCGAATTATCAGGAACTAAATTAATAACCTTAGGATGTGGTTCGAAAGCCATATCTACTCCTTCATTGGCGATTGGATGGAGGGGGTATTGCTGATAAAGTTGTGAGTCAGAAATTCCAATTTCGACAATCTCACGGCAAAACTAAACCAGCCAGAAAGTACAACCTCCGAGATGCCCGTCTTCCGGCTTCGGGAAGGCTTAATGAATATGAAGGGGTACAAGTTCCCTGAGCAGAATGATATCGTCTGATGTTTCGTGCACCTCCGAGAAGCCAAGACCCCTTCTCCCAACAGGGAGCGATTGTTATGCTACATATTCTACGATTTCAGAAAAGACAGCTTACTGACTGATCTCATGTTTTATTATGGTAAAAACGTTAACAGTACCCAGTGTTCTTTCACTTTGTGTTGTTGTTGTTGTTTAACCTCCATCTTGGCAAGGCATAAAGCTCTTTCTTTTCTTTTCCTAATTATGAAACAGAACTGTGGGAAGGTAACCGACCAATAGCAAACAAATAACGATGAAAGCCAAATAGAAAACGAAAATCCCTGATCTCTGAAATGGAGCAACCTGGTTATGAACATGACCTATCAAATTTTATAATGATCTTGGACTGTATGCTCTCAGATCGAGTATTTTAACATACCCATCAGGGTCTTGTTGTCAGTGTCGCGATTTCTTCCTTGCAGTATTGCGGTATGTCAGTATTGGAATGAATCAGAAAGAAACATAAACGTCACTTTCTCCACTCTTGATTTACTCTTATTATCTGTTGGTTTCACACTGGAAGCTAAGTTCGTTTCAAGTAAGTACGGGGCTCAAGTGCACTTGAAAATCTTAAAACTAGGCTTCGCACCTGATAACAAAGTACATTACTTCAAGCAAAAGCTATCAAATTTGTTTTACTAGTAAAATCGTCAAGTATATCACAAATGCGATTGTTCGGAAGTAAAATAGTAAGGCCTTTGCGACGGAAGAGGTTTTTTTTAGTACGTTTCCTATATTTAATTTGTCTTAACTCAAAGGTTTTCAACCTTACGAGAAATACATATTCAGTCGACTCCGAATAACTCGAACCTTCAAGGGAAATTGAAAAAAGGTTCGAGTTATCGGGAGTTGAGAACAAATGACCGGAAATAAGGAAAGAACTGGTGTTTAATGTTTTTTTTTTTTTCTATTCATGCAGTGTACATTTTAATCAAATTTAATTACAGAGTAGGGAAGTCGAATGAAAATAAAATAATACACCTCTAAATTACTGTATATAAATCGGAACGTAACGTAATGTGAAAAAACATATAATAAAGGAAAGTAGCAGGGAGAAGTCTAGGAACTGTGCACTGTAAAGGTTTTTTTTTTTTTAAAGAGAACAATGTCGGGCTACTGGTACAAAGTTCATACGATTTACATTTTCAAAGTTCATGCGATTTCCTTTTTTCTACTCATGCAGTGTACATTTTAATCAAATTTAATTATACAGTATAGGGAAGCCGAGCGATAATGGAACAATACATTTCTTAAATACATTTCGCCGATAAAAGTAAAATATAAAACTTTAAGGTAAAAAGCTGTTAAAATTATGAGTCTAAACGTTTTCGATCTGTTTGATCATCATCATGATCTAGGTTAGACTCATAATTTTAACAGCTTTTTACCTTAAAGTCTTATATTAATAATACATTTCTTAATTTGGTATAAGCTCAGGGGCACCCAACGGATTGTTTCGGTAAATTATCGGTTCGGAAGGCTTTTAATCCCCTCTGATTTTCTTAAGAGAATTGTCACCTCGAACTTTCGTGGTATAAGAAATGTGTTGTTTTCGGATTGTTAAAAATGTCGTTTTGGGTACCGGAAAAAGGTCAGCTATCATTTTCGGAAACGCGATAAGACCTAAGGTTTTCGGGAAATGGACAAAAAAGCCCTAATAAATTCGAGAATAATCAAGTTCCTCTAGAGTAAACGAACAGATAATTTTTTTTAGCGCAACCTAAAATTAACCTACAGAACTTTAAAAGTACTCCAGATAGCCTATAACAACGTTTAAAAGCATTCGAGAGAAAACGGTCGTTGGGTTCCCCTGTAAGGACTCTGTAAGCTGAACTGACACGTTTTATGTAGTGTAAAAGAAAAACGTCCACACGGCTGCTTCAAAATAAATTTAATCTTTTGGACTACAGAACACTGTTTGTTTTGACTTGTCACGTATTGACAGGCATGGTTTGAGTTATCGAGGGTAAAATTATATAGAAAATGAGCTGAGGGGAAACGAAAATTGCTTTGAGTTAGCGGGAGGTGCGAGTTATCGAGGGTTCGAGTTACGGAGAGTAAAATTACAGTAAATGTATGACGGAAATCAAGGGGAAATCGATTGTGGTTCGATTTGGCGCGAGGTTCCATTGAGAGTTAGCGGGGGTTTGAGTTATCCGGCCGAGTCGATTGTAGGTACTTTGTTGTTGACGAGTGCATAGCAGCAATACAAAAGAACAAGCGGCATCTTTTGTATTTCTCTAGAATGTTTAAACAAGGCGTAGGGCTTTAGCTAACCGATACATGGACCCGCTATGGAAAATGCATTCCCGTGTGACTCGTCCAATTTTCAACGAAGTTATTCGGGTGCACTTGGTAACAGAACTTTAGCTTCTCTGCAATTTGTAGAATCGCATTTGGTACCGGATGATATGAAAAGCGATGGTTTAGGCTGTCTCTGAAAATGAAATTCCAATAAGATTATCAGTTTAGCCATTTGTATCGGCTTTTCTTTCCTTTCTATGTAAGCTAATATAAAAGAATGTTCCATGGAGTCCTCCAAACTCCAGCCATCCAATTATTTGAATTTTTTGATCGATCTCAGCTGGCAAGATGTTTATCGGTCCGTTCATCATGGCTTTATATTTTGCTTCCATTTCCTATTGGTCAAGTGTTTTTTCAAGTGTGGTGTAGACCATACTTGGCGGCGCAATTGAACTACGAACGTTTCCTGGGTTACTAAGTAAACTTCAAGTTAGTACGTTTTACCTCTTCACACTCAAAGTAGGTTCCAAGTGCACTTAGATTATGCTTACAAGCTCTAGTGTGAAACCAACAATCGTTTGCATCCACTCTGAGTAGTTTTAAGGTTATTAATCATTTCTTCATCGGGATGACACTGCCCGTAACTATATGATGACTGAGTGACGAATAGTACAATTGCCGTCCTTTTCAAATTCCCTGTCTGCATTTGGGTGTCTTGTATGACACGGTCCAGGCCACGAAAACCGTTCCTCGGTAGAGGCATATATCCCGTGTACAAAAGCGCGCCGAAAGCAGCTAACCTTCGTTAATTTACCCCAAAATCTTGATTCGCTCCTACACGTCCCTAAACATAGTTACGATTAAAAGTTTGGGAACAAAGAAAAGAAAAACATACATGTAAATTACATCTTAGGCAGTGTCCACATTACGCAGGAAAAATTGGAAAACGCAGCTTAATTTCTACGGTTAGGCCTAACATCCACACTAATCCATCACGAAAACGGAACTTTTCGGAAACGCCCTTCAAAGTAAAGGAATTTGAAAACGCCGCAGGCTTTTCATTTTCGAATGGACGGAAGACATTTTGAAAACGGAGCTTTTCGGAAACGATGATCACGTGATTTCCCCGATCGGGTCTTGCTGAGACACAAACCCAAAATGACCGATGACTGTTGATTTTTGTAATTCATCCGTTGTGGTGTGGACGAAAAACATTTGATGCGTTTTCAGAGCGAAACCTCCGTTTTCAAATTCCTCCGGCGTTGTGTGGACCGTGGCGGGGCCTTTATTAGTCCCTGCTGACGCAGCTTTGTTTTGTCGAATGCCGCGCGAATCCCGAGATTGGTTGACCAAATGTGATTGCACTGCGTTGTTTAAGTCATATCTTGCAGGCCTTGATGCACATGGTCTGCACAAGATTTTGAGTTCCCTTCGAATGTCTCTTTTGAACAAAGCATAAGCTATCGGGTTTGCAGACGAATTAACAACGGCTAGCAAAAGAATGGCATTTATAACCTCTTGTGTTGGCTTCGAAGAGTTGACAAGAAAACGAATAACGCTGTACAGCTCGACGCAGTAGCAGGTCAGAAAAACTACGAGTACTATTATGATGACTCTAGCAGATGAGAAATATCTTGGTTGTCGGTGACTGACTTGATTAAATCGCAGCTGAGCATGGAGACGAGCATTTTGCAGCCAGTATCTTCTGGCAGTTATGATTATTTGAATCGTAGCTACTAGCAGAAACAAACAAGGAAGAATCTCCAATAAAATCATTTTGCTAAAGATGAGAGATTTGTCTTCCATGTCACATTTGCCCAAAGCCGTGCATAACGCTGGAATAGAGTCGAGAGTAATGGGAATACTCCAAGCTAAAGCCACGAGGAAAGCTGCTCGACGCGAAGTCATCCACGTAACATACCTCAAAGGCTTGATAATGGCGATGTAGCGATCAGCTGTCATAGCACACAAGTTAGCCACAGAAGCATATATCGCTAGTACGGCTATGGTATAACCTATTTTACACGTGCACATCGATGAGAGGACACAATTTCTACAGACGAAATCTGTAGGAACGATAGCAAGACCAACAACAAAATCAGCCAATGAGAGCGACAGGACAAACCAGTTTGGTAGCACGTGTAACTGCGTCCTTGAGATGATAATAAACATAACCAAGCCGTTTCCAAAGATTGCGACGCCGCTGGCAATCCACCCAATAATATAAAACCAAGACATCGCCGTTTCTAGCATTTTTGAACGACGCACGCTACAAGGTTAAATCTGAGGAATGGCCGCAGTGTTTTACTGGTGCTGTTCCTTTCCAGCGTCAGAGCTAGGAAAAAAGGAGGATTATTTAATCATCATCAGCAATCAGTTTGCTTTTAGCCTTAATTTAAAAGCTGGGTCTCTGTTTTAAAACATTAGAGTCCTTATCATTGCGGAGACAATTCTTGAATATAAATAGCGCAGCGGGGTTTGTATATGGTCAGTGAAAATTAAACGCATTCGTAAAATATACCTTTTGTAAAATAAACAAAGAAATAAAGCAAACAGACAAAACAAGAACAAAAGGATTAAAAGGTTCGCCAATATCTGCCGCTTGAAGCTGGCCCGCGGCCACTGTCATTATAGTCTTAGTCAAAAGATTCATCAAGCCGGCTTGATAACATTATTGACTCAGAGTATTATTTATTGGTCAAAACACTTTCGTTCGAAGATAACTTCTTAAAACGAAACAATTTACATGCAGGAAAAGAATATATAAATATATATGATTAAAATGCATATGCCGTAGACTTCCGAAAGTAACGACTTCTCCCCCCCCCCCCCCCCCCCCCCCCCCCCCCCCCCCCCCCCCCCCCCCCCCCCCCCNCTAATCAGGTAATGGAGGTAAATCGAGTTTTCCTGTATGTATCTTTCTATGGATACCAATTTGCCCTCCCCCCCCCCCCCCCCCCCCGCCCCCTACACCACCATCACCACCCGAAAGTAACGTAGAGCTCGTTAAGTTTAACGTAGAGTTCTCAACAAGTAAAAGGAACGTAATACATTACGGTCTAGGCGTGAGGAGGCTCCCCATGTGGCACCCAGCAATATAGATTTAAACTGGAAGAAGAGCTGAGCTTATTGAGCTGAGCTTTCCGCAACATATGAGGAAAGTTATTGCTGATATTGAAATCGGGGACATCATGAAAATTTGTTCTGCATCATCTTTATCTGAAATGGCAGAAGCCTTTAGTGCCATCTCGCAAACAGTAGACATGAATTGGCAAGAGACATACCTCCGGTTGATACTGTTCCAGAAAGTTATCTCATCTCAACAAACGAGATTTTCTCTTTTACAGCGGAACCCCGTAAATACGACCACCTTCGGGCCATGGAAAATCGGTCGTATTAACGGGGTGGTCGTATTAAAGGGGTTCTTTAAATAGGAAAATGACTGACTGAGCTTTTCTTTGGGCCAGAATAAAGTGGCCGTAATAACGAGGTGGTCGTATTAACGGGGTGGTCGTAAGGCGGGGTTTCACTGTAAAAGTTGTAGCTCTAAAGGAAATCCGAAAACTACTTGAGAAACTAGAAACTAAGAAAGCGACTAGACTGGATAATTTACGGTCAAAGATGCTTAAAATAGCGGCAGGTATTCTGGCACCATCCCTGGCATTCTTGTCAATCAGTCGATTTCCTCTGTTATTGTTCCAACTGAATGGAAGCTAGCTGGAGTGACGCCAAATTTCAAAAAGGGCAAAAGACAAGACGTTAATTACTACCGGCCAATTTCGAATATTCCTGCTGTCGCTAAGTTGTTCGAAAGAATATTTTAAGTCCAATTTTATAAAGATCTCAATGACAGGCTATCTCTTAGCAAACTGTCAATCCAGCTTTAGATCACTTCATGCACACTAACGACCTTGTTTAAAGCTTCTAATAGCTGGTCTGTCAATACTGACAACGGTCTTATAAATGGTGTAATATTCATAGATTTAAAATAAGGCTTTCGACACTATTTACCATAAGATTCTTTTAAGTAAGCTAGCTATGGCACTGAACAATGGGTCCTAAAGTGATCGTCAACAATTAAAAAATGGTGGGCTGTCAATCGGGCATTCACTTACTAAACAAATTGAAAGTCACGAAATTGATAGAGTGCTCCACACCAAATCCTTAGGAGTCTATATCGATCAAAATTTGTCGTGGTCCAAACATGTTAGTGAGACTGCCAAGGTTATCTCCGCTGGTATCGGTGCACTTAAAAACCATGGTTGAGACCGTTCATATGCGAAGAAAAAGTTGAACGATAAGACTCTGGAGTACGTTAAAGGCCTATTTAAACCCTTCAGTACAGACTATGGGCTTGAAAATATTGAAAACAAAGTCGCTCTGCCCAAGCCCCGTACTAGTTTCTGCTGCAGTTACTTACGGAAGTTTACAGTATTTAAATACAACAACGATGTTCTTGCAAAAGGCTTTGTCTTCTATATTTTTGTCTGATTTTAGATCACATTATCACAAAACAAACCTCCAACTTGATACGCCTCAAAATTCCTTAAAACCTTATCGACACTGCATTTACTCACTAGCATTTACTGCAGCCGGCTGTTTGGGTGATTTCACAAGTCTTGCGCTTTGACACTCTTAAGTGACACTGAGTCAATCATTCATGATCACTAAGTATACATTTCTTTTAACGTTCATTTATTGCTTAACATGCAAATTATGGCCATTGCGAGCCTTCGATCGATGGATTACGAGATATTTTTTTAAATTTTATGCTAACTTACGGACCATTTCATCGACTAAGGCCAAGTTCACACGCCATACTTCACATGAGCCGAATCGAATGCAAATGAGAAAAATCCTTTGTTCTCCCTCATTAGCATTCGATTCGGCTCATGTGAAGTACGGCTTCTGAACTTGGTCTAAGACTAAATAGGAATTTCCAATCCTATTTCTCACCATTTAGAATATTTTCCCACTGCACGACCCAGTCGTTGTCCTTGCAGTCCTGTTTTGATGATCTCTATGGGTGTGGTCGTGCAAGAATAAATTGTTTAATCCTGCACAACGCTTGAAGGGAGAGGCTGCTGCAGTTTGAACCTTTAATTTGGTTTTAGTTCAACGAGACTTATCTCCACCTGTTATCCACTTACAACGAATATAATATTTTATAAATATTCAAACTTTTAGGTCTCAATAAATTCTTTTGGACAACGTTAGTTGGGAAGCACTCTTAAATAAACTTACCAGCGTTTAACAAGACGACCTCAGATCGTTCGAACAACAAGACGGTTTCAGTGTTTTAAAATATGTCATCACATGATTAATGACCCCGCTGTATACATCACGGACGGATGACAGATGTTTTTTACACAGTCACATTTATCAGAGTCTTATCAGAGGAACTTTTCACCGACAGATGGCCTTCACAATAATTTTAATCGCTCATTTTGGTTGGCGAAATTTCTAAATTGTCGAAACGAATCTCGACAAAGATAACAATTAGTTTTCGTCATTAATCACTCGCTAGAACAATACGAAGGAGGGCAACGTTCTGATGTGTACAAGACATATTTCGCCGGCCGGAATCGTCTGTTGTTTTCAGTTTCAAACCTGTCGATTGAATTTGAATAATGTTGACTTACATATAGATATGTCAGTGACAAAGCTGTTGCTCTTAAAACGCAACTCTGTCATTAATCATGCCAATGACAACCAGCGAACGTTGACAAACGATAACAAACGTTTTCCTTTTTCTTAAGGCTATTACTCGTCTGCTCTTAGTGAGATCTCTAGAACACTATTTTAATCTCGTTGCAAACATTTTCTTCGACAAATTAAGCTGCCAGTATCAACCCATATTTTAGGAAAAGAAATGAAAAGAAAAATTCGGCTGCTGTAAACAAATTATGATGAACATGAAACGATTCAAAGCGTTCTGGTATATATCCTGGTTAAATATTTATCAAGGCCTTTCATCTCCTGCCTCCCTCCCCATCCTCATCCCTTTCCGCCTTCGCATGCGATCTCTGTGATTACTGGAGAGTGGTTTCAATATGGTTGTAACGCTTGTTAAGCTACGATCGTCGACATAAACTGAAGTCTACCCCAGTCATAGCGATCATACAAAATTCAACCTGATGTAGATTGCAAAAAATATCCTATGTAACGAGAACGTGCGTGATCTTCGTGTGAAAGGGTCGGAACTATATCAATTTGGGACGTATCCCACATTGCTCCGGAAGCTGAGACAGTATACCAAGGAGTCTGAGCACCAGAAAGGTTATTCCTCCCTTTCAGCAATGAGGAAATCCATAGCTTGAGGCCACAGAACATCTCTAACAAGACGGATCCTAACTTTTTCATGCACGAGTCACTAGAGCTAGCTATATAGTTTTGTTGGTAATTTCTCTTCATGTCCGCGATACACTGGTAGCATGACGAACATAAGTCACGTTTTACATGACACTATGACAATCTCTTGGTTTCATCACTGCAAATCAGCGCTCTTATCACTGCAAATAAGTACTCTGTGTGTCTGCTACGAAGTATTTCGTCTCGATAATGTGTTAGTGAACCTCGGATTTTTATTTCTTTTGCTGTTGTTTTTGTTATTGTTGTGTTTTTTTTTTTTTTTTTTTTTTTTTTNATACATGTATGTTTTATAACCAAAAATTTATTGTGTTAATTATGTAACTGAATATGTAAAAACCTTTTTGCCTGCAGCTGAGTTAATGATGAAACAACAGACGACAGAAAAACACTAAATTATTGTTTAAGTCACGAAATTTTCTGACTTGTTGATTGAAGCTACCAAGTTGTTTACGTATCTGAAGAGACACTGTGGACTTGTGTTTTACTTTTTTTTTTTTTTTTATTGTATTTTTATATATGAAAACATCAAAATACTACTGAAACTACTTACAATACAAATTAAAGAGGGGGAAGCATTTAATTTAAAGATAAAAGGTAAAAATTTCAGAGACACTGACTAGAAATAACATTTTAAAACAACAGCAATGATCTATGTTGATATATGTGCAAATCCTTTCTCACTTTTTCAGTATTTCTGATTTACGTCGGAATTTATCCGTACTATGTATTTATTAGAATGGCAACGCTGTTTCAGAAATCAAAATACCAGAAATGTTTAATTTAATTTCGTCTTGGGCTAGTAATTATTTCATCTGTGAAACCTAATAACTGTCGATTTCCATTATATACCGTGCAAGTTTACCAGGTTAAAACATGTTGCCCTTTCGCGCAGGCGACAAGTAATAAATTACACTTGTCGGGATTTTGAACACGTTCACAGCTTGAGCGTCTATTTATCAGACATCGGAAAGGTCCGTAAAATTTCTAAGTATTCCCTGGAATGATTGAATGAAATAATACAGCACTGTGTTCGAAGCGTTTAATTGTAAGACCTTTGATAGCTGACTATTTTGCTGATAAAATTATATTGAACATGTCTGAAATAAAATCGTATTTTAGTTCGTAGTGCGTAAATATTTTAGCTTTAATTTACCTCTTGCCGTAGCCCTTGGCCCGGATATACTTTTTAGGCACATTCCGCCCCGTGTCAAGTGCGAGTTTGTTCAAGTTAACATGCGTAAAGCCTATAAATATATTAACAGTAGAAAACCTGCACTTACCTTATAAACGTATTGACTTCCTTAGGCACAGAGCGAGGCCTGACTCGCACATGAAAAGAGCGTACATCGACCTAATGCACTAGTTCGCTGCCCGCATAATTACAGTTGCGCCGCCAATTTGATATTTCCGATGTCTCTCTTATTAGCCCTTACTGGCGACCTCTAAGTTTTACTCTCGCTATCTGTTTACGCCGTTTCGCGTTAATAACTTATAAGGTGCTAATTAACATTTTCGAGAATACTCCGTCGAAATATGAAGGGGTTGCCACAAAGTTGACAACAGCAAGTGTCATCTCTGATTAACATTATTTTTGTTGAATTAGCGATAACGCTTTGAATAAGCAAGATGGTTCATTTGTTTTTATTTTTCGCCCATAATGCACCCCCATAAGGTAATTGGAAGTAGTAGATTTCTGGCAGCGGGTGGTACAATTTAGATAAGCCATCATATGTGAACTGTGAATAAATTGCCTGAAGCAATTTTAATATAAGAGGCTTCGATCCATGCCACGAAATATCTAGCCACTACTTTTCTTGTGTGATTTAAAACCATACAAAGACAATCAAATTACTAATTTAAGAGTCAGAAGAAAATAATAGGGGAGTATTGAAAATTAATTTGGGGAAACGAAAGGGACAAAAAATTAGGGATGAATGAAAAATATAGCCTAAATATCTTCATTGTTATGTAGTTCTCTTCTGTTCTATTAATAGCTGTTCTGATTGCTTCGTATTGTTTGCCCCGTCCACACAGCCCGTCACTTTTGAAAATGAAGAGTTTTTTCAATTGTTTCAAAGAAAAAAAAAGAAAGAAAAAAAGAAAGAAAAACAAAATAAGCGTCTACACGAGGCTTATTCGGATCGTTTTCACCTTTCCAGACGAAAACGCTGAGAAGGTGGAAACACGATAGCGTCCCAGAGCATGTGCGTTGCTAGAAATATGAGCCCGCAAGTAGCTATTAGCACTATATGGCCCAGTTTACTTTTGTTCGCTTCGATCGTTCATCAAATCTCAGTTTGGTTTACAGCTCTTATTCTCCAAAGTGTCGCGGAAAGCATCCTTATTACGTTCAATCTCTTCTTTACACCGAGTCAGGTTGAGGATTAAGAACGTAGAACGCAACTGTGTGCACGCTATTAGGCTTGAAAGAAGCTTTCTGTCTGTCATGTGATTCTTTCACGCGGGAGAACGCGGACCGGAATAGAATGGACTCGTTTTATGACGAGAGATCACTTTCTTCTCATATTCATATATCATATTCAGCTGCCATCAGCCCATATTTTAGTTGTGTTGCTTTTTGACGGTTTCTGCGTTTTCTATGTTTATGAAGTAAGCATTTTAATCGCAAGAGTTTCACAAACTGCAAAACAACGGACTGGAGAAAAATACCCAAGAAATTTGAAACCTGTCACACTGTCTCAACAATAGGCATTATGCAGCAATCTTTCAATCATGCAATAATCATTTTTTTTTGGACTCATTTTTCCGAAAAGGAACAGGAGACCCTAGGCATTGAACGGCCGTATATTCGTCCTTAGCGGATGAATATAGCGTCAGTTAGGTGAAATCAATTACTGTTAATACATGTAAACGTCGCTGAGGCCATAGTTTCGACCAATCACCCGAAAATGATTGAAATGATTAACGTTTTATTGCGGGGAAAGCTTTATATATATATCTTTTTTTCAATGGTTATGATTAAAACTTGACACATCAAATAAACTAGTTTTTCCCTCCCTTTTTCAAAACTTTCCAATTCGTGTTTTCTGTTAATTTTTCATGTTACATGAAACTCGAAAATAACTCATGATGAACAAAATACTTTTACACATTTCCGAATTGGAAAAGACCAAGTAACTTCAACCGTCAAAAGAAGTTGACACACCAAATCAGCCAGAGGCGTTTTTTAATCTAATCCAGTCTTGAATATTGTATTTTTTACTGAACACGAAAATACCAAAATAACAAATATTATGGTCCAGCTAGTAACATTTCTATATTATTTTCTTTGAACATTCGAAGTTCAATTTTTTAGTACTTTGTAGATGAATCCGTTGACCTCTTTGGGCAAATCTCTATCACCAAAATATGGCATCGTCTCCTTGGAGAAAATCTTCCATTTTCCTGTTTTTTCCAGCTCCAGCAGCTTATCTTCATATTGCTTCACGTCTTGATTGCGCATTGTAAAACTGAAGAGACCTCCTGCAATAAGGTTAAAACAAAATGGCGGAAGAGCCCGTCAACCTTAGTAAAAACGTATTACCTATTCGTACTACTTCTCGAAAACACATTACTAAATATACATTGCATTTCAACAATGTAGCCGCACGTAACGAAAAATGGTAGAAAAAGTCGTCAATGTGTCCGTTCTGTTTTATAACTGACATGGTGAAAGAATGCTACGAGACCGTGACTAAGAAGGGATCTTGAAAACTCAACGCAGTCAAAGGCTGGTGTCAGAAAATAATACTAACACAAACTCACTGTGTTTGTTAACCTTCTCTCTGGTTTTGTTTATTTTTTAGATCGTTATATCCAGTAATGTTTTTCACGTTCAAATTCCAGATACCCATGAAGTGGAGCGTCTGAGTCTTTCATCAGTAATTAAATCAAAACCGACCATGCAGATATAAGTCAGTTTAATCATTCAATTATCGCCATTACGCCCATTTGTCCTAGCCAAAATTAAAGTGCCTGCGTTGATTTCAAACCTAGGAAGACTCGATTGATGTTTCTTTGTATTTGACGTTTTCAAAATAACCAAGAAAGACACCCAAACTTAAACTTATTTCCATTGACCTGGATGCGTAAAGGGGTTAGGCCAGTAGGCAATCTCCCAGCCGGGGCAGAGGGTGGTCAATGAACTCGTCGCCCGCGTGGAGCTACTTGTAGGTGTTTCTGCAAATCAATTCACAATTACGCTGCCAACTGAATTACGTTGCAAAAAGACATCTCCGCCTTCCGTTTTCTAGAAATGTATTCATTCGCGTCACTTGCAAATCAACTATCTCATCCTTACCTGTTTTCACCATCCTGATCATCTCCTCAAGAGCCTCTGGTCGAACATGAGCTGGAACAAGTGTGCCAGTACAGATCAGCCCATGATACTCTCCTGTTTCTATCTCGGGATTCCGCTGTTCATTGAGTGGGGCGCAGATGAGCTTCGTGTAGGCCTTCGTCTTTTTTGCTTCATTTAACATTTCTTGTGAAATATCAATAGCGTCAATTTTCGTATAGCCAAGTTTGGAAAGTTCGACACCAGCAAGCCCTGTTCCGGCACCTGCGTCAATTATCTTAACCTGGCTCTGCTTTTGGTCCGGGAAAGCCTGTTTGATAGCGGCATCTAGAGATTTGGCCAACGGCTTGTGATAAGCGACGCCGGCTCCATGCAGGACATCCTTAAATATAAAAACACAATAAACAAAAAAATACACCCAACTGTATTGATGTCAAGAACGTCGTAGGAAGGGGCAGAAGAGGAGGGGGGGGAGAGAGGTGAAACATCTCTGACTTGATTTATTGACATGTGGGACGAAGCTTTTACAGGAAAAATAAACAATGGATTTTGGAGATCTTGGAGGCGGTATGGCAGTTACTCATTCACTAAGATGAGTGAGGCAAAACACCTATATTCATGCGGCATTCATTTTTTGTCAAGAATCTTTGCATACATGCATGGACTGTCCTTGGTTAGCAAAGACAAAAAGCTCTTAGAACATGGGGACACACAACAAGGCATTTTTTTTGGTTTGCTTGTTTGTTTGTTTGTTCTTTTCAGAATTCATCTAGGACCCATCAGGGCCACGAAATAACCAAGGCAGAAACATTTTTAAATCGGTTTTTCTACAATGTTGGCAAACGCATGTCTTTCCCTTTTTCCCGCCAGAATATCTCAACTTCTTTTAAGCAAAATTTCCATGTAAACGTTTTCACACCAGCTAACACATCTCCTGAATTTACACAGTAACGACGTGTAACGCACTCGGGGGTGTAGTTCCAAGGCTATACCTTAAGGAGCAGGGGAGGATTGGGCCAGCGGTTGTGGTTCCAGTCGGGGATATGGCTGGGAAAAAAAAAAATTAATCCAATCAGATAAAATTCAAGGAGCCAGCGAGTACAATTCACGGGAAACTCCTCCTCGTCCTGGATCAGTAGGCTTAATGACCGAAAATGCCAAAAGGTCTTTCAGCCATCACAAAATCATCTTGACAACAGATCTTTCAAGGAACAGGTTCGTTGTCCCAAGAGATCAACGAGCCTTAGATAAACACATTACTGCTCCTATTGCTAGTGAGTGTATACCTTGTCATACTCGGTCGCCCATTTGTCGTAGACATTTGCTATTTCATCCTCTGTCGTCTCGTTTGTCAGTTGGATTAACCTATTACCAAAGTACTTTTCATAACTAGTGTCGTACAATGCCATCGCTTGCTTAAGATACCTGATGAGGGAATGAGATTAAGAACATGTGATTAAATTTGCAGTCTGTGGCTGTGACACAAGCTATTAAATTTGATTAGTTTGCATGTCTATCTCAGTCTTTTCATTCTTCTTGTAAATATAAAGTCATAAAGTATTGTGATGAGAGCTGAGTTGAGCTTAAATAATGTTAAGTGAAGTAATTATAAAGTGAACAAGGAAAAGGAAAGAAAAGGAAAGGAAAGAAAACTAACGAAAAGGAAAGGATGGAAAGAAAAAAAGGGGTGAAGCGAAAAGAAAAGAAACGAGACTGGGAAAATTGAATGACATAGAAGATAACGGTTAACCTCAAAACTCGCCGTACGGTAGATAGATTTTTGAGGTTGGTGTAACTTGTTACAAGGGTAGTTAGAGTAGATTGAGTAATTGATTTAACAAGGAGCTATTTCACACACTGAAAAAAGAAACAAAACAAAACAAAACAAAACAAAAAAAACAGCAACAAAATAAACAATAAGAAAACTTTTCGTAGGTTTCTTTTGCCGCCTTATAACGATTATAACATTTTAAAGCGTTATTTCTTACTTTTCTAACAGGCAACGGTTCACATGGTATACCATGCCGTATTTTATGACGACAGTCTAATCCATGGCATGAATTCTTTTGAAGTGATCTCAGGGCTGTAGTAGATAGCCATCAAAAATGGCAAAAGTTTGTTCCAACTTAACTAATTTTGCAGTTTGAAATAGGAACTCAATTTTTCCACGGGGTTTACAAAATCATACATTTTAAAATCACTGAAGCGGAGGATAATCCAACAGGCTAGTGCTATTATTTTGCCGACATCAAGCATAGTCGGTCTAAAATATATAAATCCTTCATTCCTCCTAATAGCGAAGGTAATGTTGAGCTCTTCAGGTGGTATCTAGATGGCATGCGTTACGGCCGTGATAGAAAGTCGACAAAAGCTGCACTGTGAGCAGTCTCTCTTTTCCTCGAGAATCCGTGGGGAAAAACGCAAAACAAGTAAGCGTGCGAGCGTGAGTGTGAGCGTGACATGCTAGCGGCGATGCCGCGAGCCGCTTGTACTAGCACGGGCGTCGGACGAGGAGCGAAAAGCGAGAGCGAAGCTAACTGGTAAGGAGCCTGGCACAAAATGAGAGGGCTTTCGTTTTCGACGGCTCGCTTCGCTCGTCTCTGGCAGCCTTACCTTTGCCTTTGCATCATAAGTTGTTTGAGAGTCTGCTCGCAAGTGGTACTACCCAGGATCTATTGTTATTGATGTGTCAGCAAAAGAACATTTTTTCACTTAAAGAAAGAGTTCCTTTGCTTAATTTGTTGTACATTTAAATATGGAAAACAATATTTGAGAACAAATACTGTTATCGATGTGCCAACAAAAGAACTATTGCCCGGTGAAAGAAAGGTCTTCTTTGTTTTATGGCTTCTTTTACGAACAAGTGTAATACAAAAGCAACGACGACAAAAATAAATGAATAAATAAATAAATAAATAAATAAATAAATAAATAAATAAAGATAAAAAAAAAAAAAGAATCGGAATTTGCAAATGTCACGTGTAGACCTATGTCGTGTAGACCTTTCACCCCTCAATCATTGATACGGGCGCGTTATAGGTGGTCTCTCATGCGTCGCTCGGCACTTCTCACACAGTATACTTTCACTATGGATAAAAACATCGGACAGACAAAAGGTCCGCGCGGCCACTTTGTTAACAACTGAGTCATGCATCGAGATGCATAACTCAATTTACGCGGGAATTTGGACAACACGAAATAATTTTTAAAATATGCGTAAGAGGCGTTCGAGGCTCAGTATATTTCAATGATGCACAGCTAAAAGCATGAATATTTTCTTCTTCTTCTTCTTCTTTTTTTTTTTCGCATCTCCAATGAAAATAAATATACGACGACGGCTGCTCAGATTGCACAACAAGCAAAGCAAACTGAATTAATTTTGCTCGCGCAATGAGCGTATTTCATAAAGGTCTTATTTACCACTGATAATTAATTCGAAACTGATGTTGATTGGCCGCTTCGTTCGACTACATCCCGGATTGAAAATCATTTCCTGATAATAATGCCTTCGACTGATTTAAAAGTAGAGATTTCATTAACCATGTTAACTACTTATCATTTTCAACTAACCTTGACTCCTATGATAGCCTGCACAATGCTTACTATGTACTTACTTAGAGCACCAAAAAGTAGTAAAGTAGGGGTTATTTAGAAGCTACATGGGGTATTTCTTCAGCGGCAGCACAAGTAGTTCTACAAGTGAAGTCAGCCCCAGGTGAGAGGGTTGACATTGCGAGACATTTGGCTTTTTGTTCTTCATTTTTTTTTTTTTTCCATAGCGCAAATTGCGAGATGAGCCATAAGGACGTCTGGTTAGGAAGCAGCTTGTTCGAACACGTCATGTTCAAAAACAAACAAACAAACAAACAAACAAACAAGTAAACAAATCGAATTCTTCACGAAAAAAAAGCAGAAAAAAACTTTTAGTCAAGTCATCAAGACGTACCGCTTCGAATCATGAGTATTAATTTAACAACGAAATGACGAGTTTACCAATTCCTAGTTCAACAATCTGGCTGATCATGGACAAGAAGTGTTAGATTCATTGTTTCGTAAGGTTTCGTGAACCTATCAATGATGTAAAAAGCAAATGGGGGACCTGTAATCAGTGATATAACGCAGAGAGAGTACAATGGGACTAGAAGCTGAATAAATACGTGGAATTTAAACCGGTTCTGATTAGTCTCCCGGGGCTGAGTACACGCAGAAAAATTGGGGGCGGGGGGGGGG